TCAGGAGAACATGATCAGCAAAGAGGTGGTGGCACTATCAAAAATTCCAAGAATTGGATTTCCGAGAATTTCCAAATTCAAATCGCGAAAATCGAGAATCGAGAAAATGGCAAAGTATCAGGAGAACATGATCAGCAAAGAGGCACTATCAAAAATTCCAAGAATTGGATTTCCGAAAATTTCATTTTTCAAAACGCCAAAATCAAAAATCGCAAAACTGGCAAAAGTATCAGGAGAACATGATCGGCCAAGAGGTGGTACTATATATAGGGTGTCTTATTTTTAAAAGTTCGCGCATCTCAGAAAATATGAAAGATACAGAAAAACAGTTCTTGAAGATGTCTTTTAGACATGCATGTTCTCTGGGTAAATTTGTGTTTTTAACCAAATATACGTATAAGTTTTGTCAGAAAATAGCCGTTCGGCTTGCAGCCGGCGCTTTTACGTTTAACTTTAAACGAACGGACAAAAATACTTCTTGTAAGCGTCAATAATGGCAGCTTAAGAGCAAGCAAGACGAACGCACCCTGTATGTTGATGGGTCTCCTCGAAAAATATTGCTATCTCATTTCAGCAAGCACTTGACTCCGCTGCATTGGTGCTCTGCGCGCGTACTGAGATTCGCACAAATGTTCAGGCCCTACTCATCAGTTAAAAGATACTTAAATTTATTTTCAATCAATTTCACCAAAACCAATTTTCCATAAGAAAAGTGCGAAGTTCTTCTCAGTTCCCTTGAAATCTTTAAGTTTGAATGAATAATTTAAAAAATAAAGGTAATCCTCAGTAGCTTAAGATCAATAATAAATCAATGATAAATGATATAATTAACATTCAAGACTTGTAACGTTGTTATAAATAATGTAATCTGTAATGGTAGGTTGTAATAACTTTTTCATAATTTTATTCTCAAACTTCTTAAAATTGTAACTTTGTAGCATTTTGAATGTTGTATTCAGCGTACAAAAGTTATTAATTATTGTAAAAAAGAGACTAATTATGTATGGAGTATATATTGGAGTATGCCATTAAAATAAATATTTACAAACAATTAATAATGTATTGCAGTGTATGCCTATTGATATGTCTGATCGGCGCGGAGATTTGGGGTTTTTGGCGTGACTTAAGAGATGGATGGGAGCATAGCACTCGACTCAAGTCACAGAACGCGGTAATTGTCACTGCAAGCGATGTAATAGGTGTAATGAGTCTTACAGCTGCCTCAGTTATTGGTTCGATTTTATGCTGGAAACACATACAAACTATTATCGATAAATTGGTCGATGTAAGTCTCATCTAATTGATTATTATTGCAATCGATATTTATACTCATACTCAATTTATCTGCATCAAAGTGTGACGAGAAACTAGGAATTGTCTCACCGAAGAAGATACGGCGATATACAATTTTCTTGACATTAAGCAGTCTCCTCTATTCCATTGTTCTGTCATGCCTCGATATCTACACATGGAACTATGAGGTGAAGCTGAACAAGAAACTGAACGACAAAGGTCCGATCAATTATGTTCCTCTATATTTCATGTATATAGTGATCATGATGATGGAAGTTCAGTACGCCGTTGCTACATACAACGTGTGCCAGAGGTTCTGCAGGCTCAACAAGAATGTTGAGAATATTCTTAAAAGCGACAGAATCACAGATCAGTTCAGGAAGGATCTTGGATTAGGTGCGCATCACTCATTATTATAACAATTAAAAAATTACATTTTGTAAAGAACACAAAAGCAATGATTGTAAGTGCAGTTAAATGCAAAGAAATTACCCAGCCAACATTATGTCGTCTTAAAGACATCTTTTAGACGTCTTAATACTTCGAAAACGTCTCACAAAATTTTCAGAAAGTCATCTTTTTGACGGCTTTGAGACGTCTTATGTCCCGATTTTCAACGTCTTTTAGACTTGGCTTTCAAGCTTCCGCGACAGCTGTCTTCTTCAGTCGCAATGGTGTTTCGCAAACATTGCATGCACACACCCAAAAGCGGGCAGTGCAAGGGGAGCCTTCGGCTGGTAGGGTGGGTGGACCTCGGTGTGCAACTTTTACCGTGTGCAAATGAGTGGTGTCCACAAGGGTGTTCCCCTGTGACCAACTTCTCGATGTGCGACTTTTACATGTGCAAATGATCGGTGTCCACTTGTTCCGTGTCCAAGTTTACAGTGTCCACTTACATCGTGTCCAACATTATGGTCTGTAATTTTTCAAAAGAACGATGTCCATTTGCGTCATGTTCAACTTTACGGTGCCATATTCCATTAAATCCAATAAAGGGTTTCATTAAAAGAATTGAAAGTAACCTTTACGTGACCTTCAAATGACTATCCAAGGTCAAGTCAATGGCACCACCTTATGTCCCCCTTCGAACCAAATAGCTTTTGTTTGAAACATTATTCCGTATCTTTCATATTTTTGGAGATATTTGCGTGGATCATTTAAAATGCGACACCCTGCATAAGGACTACCACAACTCAAGTGAGCTCACAATCAGTATCGAAACCTCCCAGCCCTGATGATGTAAACCGCAATGTTTGCGAAACATCGACATTTTGCTGTAAACATACGCAGTAACCATCCGGAAGCCATTACTACTGAATAGTGATTCTTAAGGGGTCTTCCTAGCGTGACGGCTCCAAAATTAAGTAAAATTCATGAATTTTTTTAGGAAAACTATACAATGTAGCGATATAAAACTTTTTACAAGTGTTTGTATATCTTAAAAGAATATGTCGTATTTTTTTATTTAAATAGATATATTGAAACACTTAGGAGTAATAATAATATGTGAGTAGCGCCAACAAAAAAAGTATCTCCATCCCGAGCAGAAATTTCAGTAGGGTTCTGGTAGGGGCCTAATAAGGATGCCTTAATGCCTGGTCAGGCACTCATCAGGCAGCCCTGACAGGGCCCTGACCGTAAATGTAACGTCGAGAATTAAAATTACCTGATCAGGTTTTCCTTATCAAGACCTCATGACTTGCCCTTTGTCGCGCCTTACAATTTCTAATAGGGGGGTGGGTATCAGTAGGCTTCCTATTCAAAAATTCTTAAACTAATTTTTAAATTGTGTTAAATTACGTAGTCATCAAAAGTATATTCAGGTTATTGAAGTTTATCCATGATCCAGACAACTCGCTGTCGCATCATATCGGCTCGCCTCTTATACTAATACGGGATGATTTTTACATACGAGAAAGACTAACGCGCGGTCGCCACGTCGCGGCAGTATGTGGTACTAGTGCTATCTATCTATTCAGGTTAACGTTTATCAAGCTCTATGAGGGAATCAGGCGTACCGGATCAGGCACATGTCAGGGATTCCTTATTAGGACATTCTTTACTTCCTCCCTATCGGGCCCTGACCATACATAAGGCATGCATGATTTTATTTCTACTCGGGATGGTAGCCATGATATCAGCTGTCCAGATTGTTTGAAATAAAAAAAAACCCAAAAATTCTTAATCTGTATGAGTGTGGTTATCGTCCAAACTAGAATAAATGAAAAATATTGAAAAATAACAAAATGGCGATGTTTTGAAAAAGTGTCGATTTCTGCCAAAAAACTTGCTTGTTTTTAAGTCGTAAAATTGAAAATATACTTACAGCTAATCAGCTATTCCAGGGCCATAAAGGACACGTTTCTCTTCCTCATAAAATTGATTTGCGATCGAATTGGCATTTCTGCGAGCAATTCGGACCTTCTTGGACGCTGCGATGTGTCGTTTTTCGGCGATCCTTACACGTGTGTCGTCTCGCTTTTCAGCGAAACTTTGCGCAGTCGAACCAATTACAATTTCCATTACTTCCAATGTTTATAGAATGGAAAAATAGCCTTCGTTAAAAATTATTAAGGCTAAATATGCAGAAATTACAGTTGTTTTAAGGTCACAATACAAATGTTTCGGAGCGAAATGCCACAAAAGACCGTTGAAACTTTCGTTATCATTATGTGTATTTCCTCCTAAACATCTTTCCAATAATTTGTCCTTTGATAAATCTTCATAAATTGGTTTGATTACTCCTTGTACTTTATCTGATAGCGGCGAGTCGTGTTTATACAGGGTGTCTGATACAAAAGTGGCCACCTTGAATATAGTGGTAGATTGGGTTAAACTAAGGAGAAATATCATGTACCGCGGTACAAAGTAACAATAGTTATCGACTAATAAATTTATACGTTTGAGCGAATGAGGATGCAGGAGACGGTAGGCCGGACTCGGAAGAAAATCGATCGATGAGCGGGAGGTGGAGCGATGCGCGAGATACACCGTGGTGGGAAAAAACCTAGGCGCGGCGGGGAACGCGGCGCGGGCGGCGAGCGCGGCAGCGAGCGCGAGCGACGGGCGAGGGGGGCAGTGAGCGCGAGCGACGGGCGACCCGAGACAAACATATGACGCCTAAAAACGCACCATGCTATCTACCGCAAGATGGTGTGGAAATGATAGCGCATCATCTTCCTGCCACCAAAACAG